TTCCAGCTCCGCAATATGAAAAGGTTACACTAAAAACCCTCTACAAGTAACGTCAGGGAAAACCTATTTTCGTAAACCACTTGCTGCGTTCACGTTATTCCCTTGCCACCCGAGGTAAGAAGCCCTAGAAGGAGCCTCTGAGGTGGCTTCAGCCACTACATCATGCAGGGTCCCAATGGGTGACGTGTGATTGTTTCAGAAGGCACTTGCTGGAAGCTGAGGATGCTGTTGGGGCTTGAGGTGTTAACCCAATACCAAAGAACCAACACAAACAACAAAAATACTACCTCTGTCCTCTACCCCCAAGAATTTATTCAATTCAACAAACATTTAAATTGGCTAATAGAGCCAGCCACTGTGCTAAAAGCAAAGGATGCAATGGTATGCAAGTTGGTCATGTGGAAGACACACATCAAGCAATTCCAACAACAATCTGTAATGAGGGTGGCAATGAGTACAGATAATTTCAAGACCTATTCTGATGGGGGAGGAGGGGTGACCAGAGAAGGCTTTCCTGAGGAAGGGACGACAAGATCCTGTCATCTGACTCTTACTTAACCTCATACCTGAAAGTGCTCCAGTAGTGTCAGGATGACACAGTTCACAACCAAGAAGCATTGTCACCCTCTTGGTATATTTAGGAACCAGCTGCTGCCTTTCCCTGTCTGTATTGTCCTTTCCATTAAAGTTAAGAAGTGATTCCTATCACTGCCTAGGCTCCAATCCCGTATTTGACACCCTAAAAATACAATTACTGTTTGCATTGTCTCAGGCCAAGAGGGCAAGTAAGTAGCTTAGCTCTCTCCACCTGTGCCTGCTCCAGTCTTTGAGCCTAAGAAAGCAGTGACAACCAGAGCACTTTTAAGCTAAAATATGCTAGAGGTTTTTCTGAAAGTGTCTAAATAACTGATGCAGAAATACTTGAGATGTAGCATGAGGCTGTCTTTTAAAAGACTTATATCTGAAACCTCTCAAGGTTTGACTATGAAATATAATTAACAGATAAGTTATCATTAGTATAGATAATTTAAGCCAATTAGATATTAAAACGTTCATGCTTCATGAGGATCCCCAGAGTATGACTTAAAATGCAAACTGAGTTTAGATAAAGCCACTCAGTATTGTGGATACTTTTCTAAGTATACAAATCCAGACCTCAGAGTACGTACTTTGTAGTTACGTACTTTGTAGTTAGTCTTGCTTAATTGAAATGTACAGTTTTTTATAGCATTCAATTAATTGATTGTTGCTAAGATAATTGCAAAATGAGGAATAGATCATTGAAAGCATTTGTGATAATTTCGGGGACAGGGGATGGGAAGGAGCATGTGGGAGGCAGAAAACATTCTCCAATGATGCCCACGTTCTGGTTTGCAGAACTTGTAGATAAGTTAGGCTGCCTGGCAAAGGGGAATTAAGGTTGCATAGGAACTGGCTAACCTAGATGATCCAGGTGGGCCCGCTGGAATCCCAAGTGTCCTTAGCAGTGGAAGAGGGAGAATCAAGTGGCAGCAGAACAAGGGCTGGCCCAGCATCGCTGGCTTTGAAGATGGAGGAGGGACCACAGGCCAAGGAAAATGCCTTCCAGCCTCTGGAGGCTGGAAAAATCAAGGACACAGATCCTCCCCTGGAGCCTCCAGAAGGAAAGTGGCCCTTAGACACCTTGATTTCAGTCCACTGAGACTTCTGACCTCCATAACTCTATGGTAACAAACTTGTATTGTTGTTGCTAAGTTTTTGGTGACTTGCTGCAGTAGCAATAGAAAGCTAAGACAGAGCATGGGCAGGAGAGGGAATGTGTGTAGGGGCAAGTCACAGTGGGAGGAGAGCCACAGAAGACAAGACTAGAAACCAAGGTGAAGGTCAGGTCCTGAGAGGTCTCCAATTCCGAGCATTTAGGTTAAAGCTGTCAGAACACAGGAAGCCAATGGAAAATCAGGGTTACAGTTGGAAAGAACTGATAGGAGACATGTCCTCCGAAAGAACTGAAGCCTTGGATGATTGATTGTATATAAACTATAAAAGACTGAGGGACTCAAAGTGCCTTTCACATTGGCCTCTGGATGACTGAGATAATCTTCTTTATAAAGAAACTGAGGACAAAGGGTGTCATTTGCAGAACTGTTGCTGGAGAGGAATTTAGAGCTCCTCACTCCAGAGCCAGCACTGAAAGCCAGTCTCCCCACCCTGCATGCCTACCCCAGGGCCCCACCATTCTCAAATTCTGCCAGTGGTGACCAGCTGGAGTCTGTGGTCCAAGACATGGAGATGCTCCATGAGTGGGAGAGAAAGCTGCTTAAAGGGAGTCTCTGGTGTGCAGGGAGTAGCTCCTAGGATGCTGTAAACTGCTTCATACTGGACATCTTCTTCACACGTGGGTTTTTCACATTTGAGAAGCAGCAAGTGGTTTCCTCTGTCTCGGAATAATGAAAGGCAGGCGTGACGTCAGAGAGTGTCAGACCATTTTATGAGCTGGCATCAATACTTCCTTGAAGGTATTGTTGACCTAAGTAATTCTCACGCTGACATTAGAGTTTTAACTATAATAGCACAGTAATAGTAGAATTAAAGTAGTATATTTTTAGTTGGTATAGCACTGGGACTTGACCAGTAATTTCCTCAAATGTTACTCTGAATTCATGGGACAGACAAACTCATAATTGAGGCAAAACTCCAGTTCATCAAAAAGTGAAGTTGTGTTGACTGAGCGAATTCAGCCAGGCCTCATCTGAGTGTGGTACCTGACTCCCAGGATTCCCTCCATTCAGTCATTTCCTGCTATCACAGGGACACCTGCAGGCATGCTGGTTTCCTGGTGCGCACGCACTGCCAGGCAGTTACAGCCACTTTTATGGGGAAAGCTAAGGGCGTAGCGTACATGGCAAGTTGTTTGCCTTTGGGGCCAGTGCACAGTAACAGTTTGAAAATAAAAAGCCAGGAAAGATGGGGAGTGTTGCCGAGGGCGGTGGCCCGTGCCCAGTACATCAGACCTCTACATGAGGACCGTCGCAAGGCTTCCTTTTGGATCTTGTCTTTGTCTTTTGCAGCCTTGATACTGGGAAAGATTACAATGTTTTCTCCGTCATTTAATGATAAATTTCAGTTCTTTTCTAGGAAAAGGGGGGAAAACTTTGGAAAACAAGATGTTTTTCTCCTGAATTCTAGCACTCAGCACATCTACCATGAACATCTCATGTATCCCATTTGATTACATGTTCTTTATCCTCAGCCCAGAATAAAACATTTTTCTACCACAAAAAAAAGGAGTTTAAAACAGCATTTAATAAATAAAAAATCAGGTGCTCCAGCTAAGGTACAACTTCAATTACTGGCTGAAGATGGTTATGTCAAAGTGAATAAATTCATAAGCTGTGACAGGTATTCTGTTAAAACCTGGGAACATGATGTTTGCTGTCCTCTGGGAATAACTCATTCAAGTCAGTGAGACCAGAACCCTGTTCTGACTCCAGGTCCGGCGTTCTCTACATTCTTTCAGGCTTACTGGTATATCTGGTTTATATTAAGTGTAAAATGATTTTCTTAAGCTTTCAGAAATGTTAGACATAGTCAAAGGGACTTTGTTCAGGTGATTCAAGGGTGGGACTTACATTACTCTTCCTCTAAGCAATTATACCAAAATGGGTGGCAGAACTCAAGAATTATGGTTAAAAAAGTGGTTTATTCATAGGAGCTATTCCACGACATGATGGTGGAGCTCAATAACTGCACTGCCTTAAGTTGTGTAAGAAGGGCTGAGGCTGTAACTGGTGAAAGCTCTAACTGGCTGTGGCACCAACACGGGGAAGCACCCCATTACAAGCAGATACACAGATACAAAAGTGTAGATGGAAAATACAACTTCTGGGTCACGTGGGGAGTCGGGTAGCCTCACCGTCAAGCCCAGGCAGAGGAACTCTAAGCTTCCCCTCTAGGTCTGCCCCGTCAGCCCAAGTCAGCGTGGGCCGGAGTAGTAGACTCTCCCACCGGGAATCTACACCCAGGCTTTCAGAAGCTTCAATTCACATCCCAGGCCAATTAACTCAATTTCAGAAACGACTGGGCATCAGTCGTTTTTTAAAACTTTTCAGGTGATTTAACTTTACAAAATTAACTTGAGAGTGCCCAAGCCAAAGTATCTTTCAAGTAATTACAGTGTGTGTTTGATTTAAACATGCACCAAGTTAAAACACTTATCAACAGAAGACCCATAGATATTAAGTAAAAAAGACTTGTAGCAAACAAACGATGGTGGGGGGTGGTTAATGACTAAAACAATGCGACTGGGGCATGTGGAAGGAATGGATAAATAAAACAAATTTTGGATTACTCTGCCCAGCTACTGCAGGCTTAGTATGATACTAACTTGGCAGGGGAGGCTTGGGAGCAGCAAATAGGGCAGTGGAGTCGCTTTGCAAGGGTGATTTCCCTCCTGAAGCCTGCGGGCCCCGGGGTCTGCCTAGTGCTTAGACCTAGTTAGTTTAGCTTAAAAGGCTAAAGCACGCAGGGGAAAGAACAATGGGTTCTCGTCCCAAACCAGCTGTGCCGCCTCTCATGTAAAGCTGGACCAGAAACTCCTAACGTCTAAAACGAGTGGCCTGCATTAGAAACCCTCTATCTCTCTCCAAATCTAATTCTGATTCCATAAACAAGGGGTCACATTTCTGTCCCTCCAGAAAAACCCTAGCCGATCCGAAGCCGCTCCCGGGCTTCGGGCCACCCATCCTCGTCTCTCCTCGGCTTCCTCCTAAAGATCGCATCAGCCCATCCGAGTGACTTTCCCAGAGCTGCCTCCGCGTTTCCCCGACGTCCTCCACGCACGCTTGGCCCGCACGGGAACCTTAGGAGCCTGTCGTTCCTCCCGGAATACAACATAACCCTGGTGATCCCGGCCGGGACTCCGCCGCCGCCAGGACCTGTCCGGGTAGAGAGCAGAGGGCGGGATCGACTCCTTCGGCAATCGCCGCCGCCTGGCCCCGCCCCCGCCGCCTGGCGCCGGTCCGCGGAGTGCCGACGCGCTCGATGAGCGGGGGCGCAGCGCGGCGCAGCGGCCGACGCCGGGTGGGCGCCGTCAGCCTCCGCTTGCCGCCGTCCGCCTCTGCTCCCCACCCTTTCCCCTGCCGCTCCGAGACCTCCCCGGGAGACTCAGGTACGGGCGCCTGTCTGATCGCGGGGCGGGGGCCAGTGAGAAGGAAGCAAACGGAGGCGACGCCCCAGCCTCTCAGCGTTAGCGTCGGGCTGCGCGACCGGCCCGGGGAGGGAGCCTCGAGCGGGCTGAGGCTGGGGTCGCGCCGGAGGAAGGGCGGCACAGACTGTCGTGCGGGCGAGGGCGGGGGTCGTGGGGCTGAAGGGACTGGAGGTGGGAGCAGACCTGGTGCGACAGATGGGTGGGTGGTGGGGAGGAGCCGCTGGCCGGAGGGCCGGGCTTGTGCTGGGATTTAAAAGGCTAGGTTCCTAAGGACTGGCAGGTCTGGGGAATAGCAGCCTCTCCAGGCTGCGCCCAATTCAAGTCACTGATTTCCCGAAACTGCACCCGCCGCGGCTGCGGGCGAGGATGGGGGAAAAGGAGTCGGAAAGGGGGTGGAGGCAGGGGCGAGGAAAGCCTCTGCCCAGGTGCGAACCGGAGCTAAATGAAACAGAGGGTTTTCTGTTACTTTTTCGCCAACATTATTAAACAACAGGTTGGAAGTGTGTTACGTGTAAAGCCCCTCAACACAGAACGTACCGCCTCTTCCAAAAATATATCACACTGTAAACGCACGAGGATGACGTGAGAAGCAGACGGTGATGACATTTTGGGGGATGGAATTGTGCACTGCCTAGCTGCCCTCCACGCTGAAATACATCATGAAGACTTTCTTACACATATACCTAGACACAAACACCTCAATGTACATGTGTTTTTTGCAGAAATCGTTTTAGGTAGAATAAGGATAAGTCTGATTTCTAACCATGTTTTTTTTTTACTATGAGTTGTTTGGTACAAATATCATCATTTGCCCTGTGGTTCATGATGCGTAGTTAATTAATCTGCCTGCTGATGGCTTTTCTGTTTGTCAGACTCTGGCTTCTTGCCTTCCTGAGGCTGATACTTGGATTATAGGACCTGAACATTGGGTCTTGCTTAGCATTAAGCTTGTAGCTTTGTTCTATATTTTACAGAGAAATTACATAAGTCTGCCTGTTATTTGCTTTGGGATGTTGAGGCAGCCCCTTTGTGGGGTTTAACATGCTAACAAATTCAGGTATAATGAAAAGAAAGACTCAGTTCTTCAGTTGCTTCCTTCTTCATTTGTTTTTCAGTTCAGTCTGTAACATTTCTGCATGAAAGACTGATTCTGAAATCAAAGTTACAGGAATAAAATGGGCCAGTTGTACGTGACAGAAATATTGTTGAATGAATTTGAGTTGTTTACTCAGGTGGCAAGAGTTTGTTTTTTGTTAACATGTGATCAAGTTTCAGGTTAGGAAGCATTTCTTATCAAAGAAAAGTGTATTATTTTGTTTTGACAGGGAGCCAACTTAAAATATTACTTTGGTTTATGAAACTGGGTGCTGCGTTTATTTTTTTTACTATATAACATTAACCAACGAACTGATATCTAGCTCTACCTAATTTGAAGGTGATCTTCAGTTTCTTCTTGTGGAAGGGGAAAGAGCTGCTGGGTCGTTACAGGGAATTGGGCTTTCTAGAACACAACTGTGTCACCTGATGAGCAACTAACTGAAAAAGTATCACAGCAGATCATGCACAGCCATTGATTAATCTAGGCCTGTGTTTCTGCGGTTTCCAGGAACAGAGTTACTAACACTATTACTTACTTACCTTTACTGAGCCTTAGCTTTCTTTTAGTTTTCTAGTGCCTACTTGCGAGGAATAGCAGAAGATACACATAAATTCTTGAGTTCAGTGCCTAGCACATAGTAAGACCTTAGTTATTCTCATCATCCATCTTTTAGTCCAAAATACTGAAAACTCATATCTGCGTGTGTCAGCTTTTTCTCAAGAAAATTCTGAGTATGTTGCATACCCAAGCATTTTCCTGGAAAATCACAATGCATGTTAGCATGTGAAAGGCAGGAGACCTCCTGCAGGGGGGGGGGGGACTGGCTTTGTTGAACAGTACTTAGCAAACTTCCCTTTTCCTGGAACACCCATGCTAAGCCTCAGAACAGGGTATTACAGTTTACAGAATGTGCTTACATGTTGTTATTTGACTAGACCTTCCCAAATCTGTGCAGAAGCCTAGAAAGCACTACTTTACAGATGAGGGCACTGAATAATTGTTCAAGCAACGAAGAAGTGTTCCACTGTCTTCTGACTCCCAAGTTAAAATCCTAAAGCATTCAATGTCTCGTTTTCAGGGAAGCACCTATTTTCCTCTCCTGTCCAGTCTGCTCTTTTCGTTTTGCAAAAACTTTGTCACTGATTTCCTCCACATGTTCTCCTGAGAAAGTTACATCCATTTTCTCATGATTTTTACGACTTCTTATATATTGAAGCCTAGTGTGGAGGTGCCCAGAAAGGAGCACGTGAGAAGGGAGTGGTTGAAGTCAGAGACGTGAAGGGGCCCCTTCCCACCGGGCCTTGGGCTCTGCTGTAGGCGCTTTACCTTATCCCGGAAGTCTCAAGTCTGATGAAATCTATTTTCTCTTCAAGGCGGTGAGTACTTATTCTGCTGGGAAGTGGAGAACTTCTGGATTAAAAAATATGCCTCCCAAGTTCAAGCGCCACCTAAATGATGATGATGTCACTGGTTCTGTGAAAAGTGAAAGGGTAAGTGCAGCATCTTAAGCTTTAAAGGAGATGGAAAATGTGTTTTCATTCCTTTGGTCATTTTAGAAAAATCTAAAGTTTATAGCGATATTCTAAGTCCATTGTCCGTCATAGCAAACATTAAAACATATATGCTACTCGAATTGGCGACACAGCTGAATTCCGGCTACAGCTTCTTTCTATTCTCTCAAAGGGAATTTTATACAAAAATGCACTGTGTTATTCAGAACTCTGGAGCCAAGTGTGGGAATGTCTCAGACCTTAGGAAGGTAGTAAGTGCATCTGACATGACAGCGTTTGGGAGGCCTGGGGCAGCACCCCCGACCAGGAATGCCTCCTTGTGCCGTGTCTGATCACTCCAAGTAGAGAAATAAAACGTGTAAGTTAATTAGCTAACATCAGTTCAGGTCCAGTTTTCATCCAGATGAGTTTTGGCTCCAGGTTCACAAAATCTCTCTAAATTTCAAGTGTACAACTTTATAATTTGACATCTTTATGCTCTAGATTTCCAGTTTTCGATCGTTGTGGTCAGAAAATGTGCTTGATGTGATTTCAGCCTTCTTAAAAACATTGAGACTTGTTTTGTGTCCCAACATATGAGGTCTATCCTTAAGAATGTTCCAGGTGCACCTGAGAATGTGCATTCTTTCATGTTGGGATGGAAAGTTTATAGATGTCAGTTAAGTCTGTCTGGTCTAATGTGCCATTTAAGGCTGACGTAGGCTGTTGACTTCCTGTAATCTCCTTCTGTTGGAATTTTGTCTCTCATTTAAAGCACACAATTCCAAATCATGCATCCTTCACCACGATCACGTTTAGGACCTTTTCATCGTCCCAGAAAGACATCCTGCTCCTTTTCGCAATCATCCCCAGTTCTCATTCCCTCAGGCCGAGGCAACTGCGAATCTATAGAGTTGTCTATTCTGGACTTTTTATAGAAATGGAATTCTACAATATGTTGTCTTTTGTAACTGGCCTCTTTGGTTTAGAATGTTTTCAAAGTTCATCCATGTTTTAATACATATCTGTGCTTCATTCCTTTTTCTTGCTGAATAATATTTTGTTATAGGGATATACTACAGTTTCTTGATCCGTTCATCAGTTGCGGGCCACTTGGTTCTACCTTTTGGCTATTAGGAATACCGCTGCTGTGAGCATCCGTGTCCAAGTTTTTTTGTGAATATATGTTTTTATTTATCTTGAGTAAATACCTAGGAAGGGAATTGCTGAATTCTGCTAATAGAATTACTCCACATTCAACGTCTTGGTGAGCTGCCAGTCCGTTTTCTAAAGTGGCTGCAGTTTTTACATTCCCACCAGCCATGTGTGGATCTTGCAGCTTCTCCATGTTTCTCAGCACCGCCCACTTCTTTCCACCAACAATAGCTGATTCTCTGCCTAGTACAGGTGAAGGGGCATCTCTCATCCTGTGCCATTATCCTGTTTTGATACTGTATTTCGAGCACTCATGTTTGGTCAATGAATGAGTGTAAAAATGTTGGTTTTCATGTGTTTTTCCTCATATAGCTCAAATACAAACACCTTAGTGTTGTCATCCTCTAAGGCAAATACACTATCATAAATGTAATGATTATCTGTTACTTACTAGCTAGAATAGCATTCTAGAAATATTTGTTGGCAGAATTAAAGCATCTTCTTACATAGTATTGATTTAGAATGTCTTTTCATGGGGTCCTTGGCTATTTCTTCATCTATTGGGAATTGTCAGTTCTCTCCTTTGATGATTTTCTGTAACGTGTCTTTTTATTACAGGTTTGTCAGAGCTTTTTCTATAATATAGGTATCACACCTTTGATCCGAAAGTATATCGCAGATTTTTATTTTTTTCCAATCTGTTACTCGCCATTTAACCTTGTTCATGATGTCTTACATACTTCATATTTTAAATGTTTATGTAATCAAATCCACAAATCTTTATCTTTTACACTTCTGGGGTTGTGTGTTGTTGAGGAATAACTTACCCATCTTAAGAATTAAATATTTCGTAGATTTTCAGTCTTTGTGATTTCATAAATAAATGCATTTAATATTATTTTCCTTGAAGTACTCCTGTAACAGAACCTACAATTTTGTTCCGTGATGTTCCCAGAGTCATTTATTTGTAACTAGTCTGTTCAACTTCCATTTAAATGTTAATGTGTTAATTAGAAAAGTGTTTTAAAACTTTTTTTTGTTATTTGTTCTCTAGTTTCCATTGCATTATGCCCAGAAAATGTGACCTCTTTAATTTTTAGAATTTATTAAAATTATTTTGTGGCTTATCCTCTTCTTGGATATTTGAAATAAAATCTGAGTACAAAGTTCTATATTTTTTATTTTTTTTCTTTTTGGTTTCTCCATCTCTGAACAAAATGCTAAATATTTCCTATAATTTTAAGTGTATTCATTTCTTTTTGTATTTAAGTAGCTTTTGCTTAATATATTTTGAAGCCATATTATTGTAAACATTCACTGCTGTTAAATCTTCTTGGTGAATTGTGCATTTTATCATTGTAAAATCTTTTTATTTGATTGTTTAAGACCTTTGTCCTAAAATTCCTCTTTATATTAACACTGTTAACTCTACCATCCTTTTTCGTTAGGATTTGCTGATGTGTCTTTCCCAGCTCTTTTTTCCCACCTTTTAGTTGACATTTGTTTTAGTTGGATTTCTCATAAACTGATATTGGCTGGAAAATTTTGAACTCTAATCGTATCTATTTTTTTTTTTTTAAAGAAGTCAAACCCTTCACATTTATATGGTAATTCACACAGTGGGGCTTTTTCTGCACCAGCCTTCCCTCGCTGAATGCTCTTCACCCTGGTCTCTGGTTGGCTCTTTGTTATCAGTTGGATCTCAGCTTAAGTTTCCCCTGTTGAGAGTGATTTTCCATGACAGCTCATCTCATTTAGTCACCGTGTCTCTTTCCCTCCCAGACTCTTAGTTTTCTGCAAAGCTTTTAGCCCCGCCAGATGTTTTCCCGTGAGAGCTCAGACCTTGCCTGTGGTGTCCAGAGCTGGCGCTTGGCACTTAGAACAGTGCCTAGCACATAGGAGATGCCCAGGCACTCCTGTTAGATTGAACAGAGAGCAGCTGGGAGGCGGGGGAAGGCGGAGGGACTCACTCCTCCCGAGGGCGCGCCGCCCCTTCCTCCCACTGCAGGTTCAGCCACCGTCTGCCTCTTCGTCAGTCATGGGATTCCACTCTTCAAAGCATTTTCCTTGGAAAATCTGCACATGTGGTTCCGTATCTTTTGCCTTCCAACGAAGCACACGTAATTACTCTTCTCCCTGGGGGCTTGGGTTCAGGAATGTCACCAGGACAGAACTTGTTTTATCACTCCTGAGAGTGAGTAACCCCGGGGAATCTGAAAATTCAAGTCATTTTGTTTTCTTTTTTGGCAGAGAAATCTTCTGGAAGATGATTCAGATGAAGAAGAGGACTTTTTTCTGTAAGTTCTTTAACAGCTTTATTGGGCTGTGATTCACATATAACATGTACAATGTGAGTGTTGACACACGCACCGTACACCAATGACGTCATCGCCAAAGTCAAACCATGGACACAGCCTTCACGTCGGAAGTCCCCTCGTGCCCCGTGGGCCTGTCATGCTCCCGGCTCCCCAGGCAACCACTGACTGGCTCTCTCTCACAATAGTGTGTATTTTCTAGAATTTTGTTATGTAGGAACCATATATTGGGCCCCCTTTTTCACTGGCTTCACTCACTCTGCCTGATGATTTTGAGATTCTTCCGTGTTGTCGCATGTATGTTTGTTTTTATCTCTGAGAAATATTCCAGTGTATGAATATTCTGCACTTCACTCATTCATTTGCTTATTGATGGCTATTTGGGGTAGTTCTAGTTTTCAGCTACCCCAAATAGCCGTCTTTAGAGCTACCCTAAATAGGCAGCTATAAAGATTTCCAGACAGGTGTTTTCTGTGTGAACATCTGCCTTCATTTTGCTTGGGTAAACACTTTTAGAAGTAGAGTGACCAGTTGATATGAACAGCTGTTTTCCCAAGTGGTGCTGATTTTATGCTCCGCCAGCATTGTCTGAGCGGTCCAGTTGCTCCCAATCCTCATCGACACTCCACGTGGTCTTTAATCTTAGCCATTCCTGCCGGTGTGTAGTTGTATCTCATCACAGTTTTAATTTGCATTTCCCTAATAACAAATTATGTTGAATGTCTTTTATGTGCATATTTTTCATCCTCATCTCTTTTTTGATGAATTACATGTTTAAAATTTGTGGCCCAATTTTAAATTTGTCTTCTCATTAAAGCTCTTTATATATTCAAGAAAAAAGTTCTTTGTCAGGTATGTTTTACAAATATTTTCTCCCAAATTGCAACTAAATCTTTTAATTTTTCACAACAGTATCTTTTGAAAATCAAAGTTTTGATTTTGATGAAATAAATTTAAGGTTTTTTTAAATTATCTTTGCTTATTTAAGAAATCTTTGTCAAACCCAGTGTCACTAAGATTTCCTCCTGTGTTTTTTTCCCCTAGGAGTTTTATAGTTTTGGTTTTTACATTTAGGTCTGTAATATATTTTAAATTGTTATCTATGACTAAGTGAAGGCTAATTTGGTGGGGGAGGAGGGCATGTGACTTCCCAGTTGTGCCACCATTTGATGAAACAATTGTTCTTTCCCCCATTGAATGGCCTTGATATTTGTCAAAATTAATTGACCTGATCAGTCCTTTGGAGTTATCTTTAGGAGGGGCTCTCATAGAGGCCTTGGTTTGTTTTTGCCCAGTTGGGTCAGAGGAGGTACTGTTGCAGTTTCCTCCTGAGAGTAACAGAGGTCTACCTGAAAGGAACGATTCAGCTCCCTCTTTGTTACAATGTTGTCAGGTTTTTTGTAGAGGGTTTTCCTCCCCAAATAAAAACATTATATAAAAAGTAATTGACAACCATGAAACAGCAAACAGAAAGAGCCTACAGAATACAAAACAAATCCAAATACAGGAAATTTTTTGCAGGAAGGTTAGATGAAGTGGGAAGATGATTTCCACAAGTGACACAATTTCCCTCGAGTCACAAAGCTGCCTGCCCACAGGGCAGGTCCCAGAAAGGAGCCTTATCACAGCAGGAGCCACCTGGCAAAAAGGAAGTAGATATTGAGGAGGCGGCCAGGTGCTTCGGTCCAGCACGTGGCTGCCTGGCTTTGCCTTAGAGACCCATGTGGGAAACACTCATGAGGCAGCCATGGACGGACCGCGGAGGGAGGCCCACTCCCCAGTAATGCTGTGCAGCTTTCAAAGGGCCTGGCAGTAAAACTGGCTCTCTTGTTCACGGTACAACTTCCACGCCTCATGTTTTTGTCTCTGTGTTGAAAGGAGACACACCGAATAAAGTTCTTGAAATGATTTTTAAAAATCAGCACCCATGTTTATAGCAGCTATATTCACAATAGCCAAAAGTTGAAAGCAACCAAAGTGTCCGTCAGTGGACGGAGAAAGAAACAGACTGAGACATGTCCCGTTAGTCTGACAAAGGAAGGACATTCTGAGATGTGCTACACCATGCATGAACCTCGAGGACATCACGCTAAGTGAAAGAAGCCGGTCACAGAAGCATGAGTTTCACAGGATTCCCCTTGCACGCGGTCCCCAGAGTAGTCCCATTCACAGAGACACAGGGCAGAACGGAGGCCGCCAGGGGCTGGGAGGGGGGTCTGGGGGGTTCTTGTTTGATTAGCACACAATCTATTTCCTTATTTCCAGAATTTTAAAATGGATTGGTTAAAATGATAACATTTAACTATAATAGAAAAATAATAACTTGAGAAATGTTGATATTTTCAGAGACTCCTGCATTCTCCTTTAGCTATGTTGTTAAGTTTAAGATGAGTAATCAAAAAACATACTTAAAGATGTTTAGTATTTTGAAAGGATTTTTCTCTCTATCCATCCCTGATAATGAGCATGTCATTATAGCCCAAATTCAAGGTGAATTGTATGTTTAGTTTTCTATCATAAAACTATTCATAGTCTTGGGTGCTTTCGTTGTTACGGTATTTCAGGGTTTAATCAGAACACCCTGTGTGTAACTAAGGATCATGTAAACCCTAATTTCTCTGAAAGATGCACTATTCAGAAGGAGTAGGTGAGTCGTGGCCGGCATTGAGTGCCAGTGGAGGACAGACGTGATGGCATGTCATTCGGTTCCAGCAATACCCATAAAACGTGGTTCCTTACCCTAAATGACCGACCCATGTTTCAAGTTCAGCTTGAATGAGTGTATTTCCTGTTTTTTGTCTGTTTTTCAAATGTTCTCCTTATTCATATGCACTCGGTATTTTGCTTTCAGAAGGGGACCATCTGGACCAAGATTTGGACCTAGAAATGATAAAATTAAGCAGTAAGTTTCTGAGATACTCATTTGTTTAAATGGTTATCACTTTTCTGTGTGGATTGGAGGTGGGCAAACTACGGCCTGTGAGCCCCCTGTTTTTGTATATAAAGTGTCATTGGCACACAGCCATGCCTATGTCTTTTCTTATTATCTGTGGCTGCTTTCAGGCTACAATGGCAGGTTTGAGTACTTGTGACAGAAACCTTATGGCCCACAAAATCTAAAATATCTATTACCTACCTGGCCCTTTACAGAAAAAAATTTGCTGAGCCCTGATGTAGACAAACTATAACTGCTGGGTTTTTAAAACCCAGTAATTCTTTTTATTACCTCTGAATTATAGCTAAGGAAATGCAAGTCCCAGTTCTTGGTTTTTATTAACTAGATTCCCTTATATCACATCTATTTATTTAGCACTATTTAAAGGTCTGCTTTGGTTTTAAATCAAGAGCTTGAGAATAATAGTAAACAATATAACAGATTTAGTTTCTTGAAGTACGTTTGTCTTTTCGTATACTTCCAGAATTTTTTCATCTCTATCACTATCCTAACCCATATATGACCTAGCTTTAATGGCTAATGAATTTTCCGTTTAAAACTTGCTCTACGCATTGGCGGGGTAGCTGGGGAGAATGCTGCCGTGAATGCGGCTCCCGTCCCGGCAGCGGGGGCGGGGGCGGGGGCGGGGGCGGCCCGCTGCCCTGGCCCTGGGGGCAGGGGGCGCACAGCGGGAAGGGCGCTGCGTTGCGGCGCGTGTTTGGCGAGGGGCTTGGACTTTGGTCAGGTAGCTGTTGGGGTGAAGAAGTGTGTCTACACTCGGCCTGATCCTGGCTCCTGGACTCTGAAACACCGAACCAAGGTGTCAGCCCGTTGAGCCAAGTACTGGACAGCGTGGTTTCATTTTCTGTGGTTGGTGACAAGTTACCCTGCCTGCAGCAGCGTAGGACAAGGCGTTTGTCGTCTCACGTTTGCCATGGGCCAAAAAGTCAGTCACTGTATGTAGGTGGGCCCTCTGCACAGCGTCTCAAAGGCCTGAGATCACAGTGTCCCCGAGACTTACTCCATAAATTAATGTAAGGTAGTTTTGTCTAATGATTGGAGCAACAGAGGAAAACCAGACACTTAAATAGTAGCATGTCTGTCTGTACTCTGGTGTGAGAGTAGGCAGCTAAAAACCACTTATTAAATTTTTGAATTTAAATTTTCACTGAACCATTCTGAAATTTGAATGGAACAGGCCCTAATCACCTGATGTAAAGGAAGAAATCCTATTTTAATTTTGAAGAACGACAAGTTTTCCCCTTTACTCCATCATGGGTGCTTCAAACCTCCCCAGGCGCTGCCAGTTGTCGGAAATCCTGTGTGGGGGGAATGGGCGAGCAGTAAAGAGTTACACCCACCACACGGCCGCGTCCACAGGCACGCCTGCCATCCACCTGGGAAACCGCGTGTTCTGCGTGAGCTGCTCACACACGAGGGCAGACCCCTCCGTTGGTCCCGGCGTGTGGGCTGTGCAGCGAACTCGGGCCAAGGCCGTGCCCACGCGATGCCTCAGCTCCCTGCCGATGCGAAAATGCAGCTGATGGTGCAGCCATGAAGCGACCAGTGGCTGAGCGTCTGACGGTCCCTTTAATTTGCAGAAACCGGGCTAAACTAAACTGTTGGTTAAATGTTACTTTTTCTAGTGTGTTTAATGGAAGTTTCAAAAATTATAAATCCTCAAAAGGAAAAATAAATACTTTTCATCTTTTAAAACCAGTGTTCAGAATCAGGTGGATGAAGTTATTGATGTCATGCAAGAAAATATCACAAAGGTAATTGAAAGAGGAGAGAGACTTGATGAACTACAGGACAAATCAGGTACAGACATTTCATCTGTTTCTTGACACTATAGTTACCTGGGTTTTGATAGTTTATTACTCCCATTTTTTTCTAGCCAAAATTTAAGAACCTTGACTTAGGACAATAGTATTTTGTTCTTCACTTACAAGTTCAATATTTTAACTTCAGGTCCTTTTACTTTGAATCATCTTACTGTTTTATTTAATTGATCACTTGAGAATGGAAAATTGAAAACTTCACTGTTGAAGAGTTAGAGTGGAATTTTTTCCTTTTTTCCTGTTATGTTGATATGCTTTGTATGCTCATAATCTCGAGGACAAAACGTCTAAACACTTACTTCAGACCCACCTGATGTGTTTATCTTTTGCTTTCTCTGGTAACTTAGTAACCCTTCTTTACTAACAGATGTTCGTGTCTGTGCTTGTAACAGTTCCTGGTACTCAAATACCATTTAAGTGATGAATAGCTGAATATCTGATTAATCCTTGAGATGGACGTTTTAAACAAACTTATTTAACCACTTCTAAAGTTCGTTTTGTTTTTCTCTAAGTCAGTCACTCTCAGTGTCTTCTAAGAGTGTAACCTCCACATGTCAATTTTCTCTATAGATGTGCCAGGTACTGGAGTTTTTAAAGAGCATTATCTTTCCAGGATTCATAGTTTGTTTGAAAGGCCTGAGGCCCTGGAAAGACTTCTCTTAATCTTACTGTAGAAGTAGGTTGAGTGTACGGACCTGCTGCACTTGTTGCTTTAGGGGGCTTTTTAACATTCGAATGTCAAAGGGTGTGGGCGGAGGAAAGGGAGGGTATTGTTTTCCTGTTCAGAAGGGAATGAATTTGCAGAAGTAGAAATTAGTATTTTCTTGTCTTTGTGTGACTGGATAAAAGAATCCTGTCACGGGCGTTTAACCCCTCTCTCCACCCCCATGTGATACAGAAAGCTTATCGGATAACGCAACTGCTTTTAGCAACAGATCCAAACAACTGCGACGGCAGATGTGGTGGCGAGGATGCAAGGTAAGCAAATCAGACACGATCCATCGATCGATTGATCAGTCAGGGAGGTCGGCCCGCACCCAGGGCTGCTCACCGGCCAGGGCAGAGGGCCCGAGGTTGTGAGCTGCGTAGGGACAGACCGTCAGCTGCCTCGCTCTTCATCGGAGCTTCTGAACCTGGGCCGGACAGGCACTCGGTAAATAGTTGGTGAATGGGTTAATGGTTGTGGGGACAGAAATAACTAAAGAAATCAAGCAACGCCAAAAAGGATGGGTTCGTGAGTTTCTCCATAGAAGGTCATCCACATTTCACCAGTAATTTACTACCTCTAAACTTATAAGAAATATTTTTCTTATAATCTGTTATTAGTACCTTTTGGAACAGCCTATTGCATTATATACAGATATTAAAAAGATAAAATGAAAGCTAGAAAAAATACGATTTTTTTTTAAATGGGGAAAACAGCTTATATGTCAGAACATGGCAAATATGGCTAAGAAGAAAATTCCACTGTCCCTCATTATTCCAGAGAAATAAGAAATAAAAGAGAAATTTTTAAAAACTGAGTAGTATTGTATACTAATATATTTCTGCAAAACATTTTGTAGAAAAGAATTTACTTACGTCAAGTAATGGCTACTAGTCATCAAACAGAAAATGTTTCTCTTAAAATTTTCCAGCATGTGAGCCCATCTTTCCTTTTCCTCCTGATTCTGTGTATCATTTCTAGTGTTGTTGAAATCTTAGACACATAGTCATTGTTTTTTAGTCTCTCATTTTCAAGTTTGGCAATAAGTTTCTAAATTTGACTTTCACAAGTGCTAAGGATTTCTCCAGGATTTGCCTTGGACTGACTTATTTTTGCCGAAGTTTTTTATTTTATAGACGAGCTTGGAAGACCATAAGGGCCATGAGCCATTCACCTCCCCACCCCCCACCCCTGCACCCCACCCCACCCCCACACACACACAAGAGACCCAGTCCCGTGGTCCTGGGGAGATGATCAGAGGCTGCAGTTTGGGCCTGCTTTTCTTGGCCATGGCTGAAGATCTTTATTTTAGGGGATGCAGATCAGAGGACTCGTATGCCTTTAAGGGGAAAGGGGAATTAATCTTAGCGTTATATTTCAGGTAGCCCCTAGCTCTACCATTCTCTGTATTGACGTCCTAGCGATGATTTAGCAAAGGCTGAGAAAGGCACACGGGGACAGAAGGCAGCTCGGGTCCCTGGAGGGTGGGCAGAAGGCAGGGACTGGCCACAGCAGGGCCTGAGGGGTTTTCTGGACACGTCTCCTGATTGACCGGGATGGCGGCTGTTGGCACCACGCTATGTATTGGTCGAAACCCTCCAAAATGAACTTTAAAAGGGTGGGTTTTATTTCTGTGAAGTGTATCTCAATACACCGTGCTTGAAAAATAAGTAAGTGAAATTACCCAGTGGGTGGAGGGAGAGAGTCACTTACGCCGGCCCTCAGGGGCCTGCAGTCTGCAGGTGTGCGGCCCGTCGCTGGGGAGGGGGCCTTTAGGCGAGCAGGACACCCGACTGCCATTGTGCGGCGCGCACCCCAGCAGTGTTAGCGACTCAAGAAGGAAAACTATTCACTGAGGCGCTTTAAAACGGATGTTGGCATTTCCATTTTAATCTGCTAAGACTAGCACACGTTAGCAGGGCACATTGACAGGTGTCTGGGGTGAAGCTGAAAAACCTGCCGTAAAACTCCAGGTTACTTTAGAAGTGTTTTTAGGTTAAAGAAAAGCAGCGAAGCTTCCATATATTCTCTGAACCACTTTGTCCCTAAAGTAATTTAGTTTATAGTATGAGGGGATCCCAGACACCTACTGATACTGTGTCTCCTGTATCCATCCGACCTGGCTCTGTTTCTGCGTTTTTGGTTATGGTAATTAGTAATCCTAACAGGTACCTGGTATCCATATTTCATTTGAGTTCATCGGGAAAATAAAATCAATTTATAATTTATGCATTTTAGGATTAAATGAGGAGAATGACAATATGATAGAAACGATGTGAGCTTAAAACATTAATGAGCTCACTGATTAAGGATTAATCTTAAGGTTTCTGTTCTCAACTGTGAAACTGACATACACAATGCTCTTAGCCAAGTCACTCACTATTACGGTTATTTATGAGGAATTTAAATTCTCTTCTTCAAAACAGAGGTAAAAATTCCAAGAAGAAAGTAAGGGTAGCAAAAACAGAATTCTCATATATGTGAGAACAGTGGTAAAAAAAATGATGCCTTGTACTGTATACAGTAAATCACTTGTGTTGGATGCCTTTTAACAGAATTGGTAAAATACAGTACTTCTGGTCTCATAGAGAAATAAGTGCAAGAAAGCACAGGCAAAATGTCCAGGTCCACGAAGGCCTTGCTTGGTGGTGTTCACTGTGCTGTGAGCCTTGAACAATAAAATCCAGGCAAGCGGAACCATCCAATGCGGGGGACCCTGATTATTAACAAGATGCAAATAGCCAACAAGTTCATATGAAAGAAGTTTGAAAACCTTCCCAGAGATGAACCTGTTCACTGATGAGAGTGTTAATAGGGCAACTAACACAACAGGTAGTCCCGTGATAGTAAAGTCAAGGTTAATGTTAACATCTTTCTTCCGCCTTTTCTGTGTTGCAGATAAAAGTCATCATGGCTTTGGTTGCTGGTATTCTCTTGTTGGTGATCATCAGTGAGTATTTCCTGGGTTATATTAACTTAGGGGGTTGTTACTTGTTTTGGCATTTAACTTGTTTCCAGCTGACCTGGCGTGGCTGTCAGGATTAGTGAACGATTTCTGGCCGGAGTCGAGCGCGCTCAGCCTGGACCCCGTGGCTCTCCAGGGCGCTCCCAGGTTGCATGTGAGCTCAGCGCAGGGCCCGGGGCTTTGTGTGGGGCCGCATGCGGCCACTCTTACACCCGGGCCTCAGCACTTAGTTTCCACATACTAGGAACGTCCAGGTTTGGCAGCTCGCACTTAAAATTGTGTTTGCAGGACAGAGCTAGGTAAATTCCCCAGATGAATGTGTTTTGTTTTGTTTCTGTTTTGGATTCAAGCTTGATTTCATTCTTTAACATCCTTAATATTCTCTTTAAAGTGAAATCATTTATAATACCTCCTTCTCTCCAAGGCCTCTTTGCCTTTGTTTACAGAGACTTTATAAAGATTTGGGAAGTGTCTCAAAAATAAGACCATTTGAAAGTCCATGGTCATATTCTCTTTTGAGAGAGAAAAGAGGTTTGTGACAAAGAAATAGTCGATCTTCACCCGTACTTGTAGGTTCTTGGGCTTGCGAAGTCACCCTCAGCGCTCACACTGACTTGGAACCCCAGCAGGGCTCAAGGTGCCTTCACGGCCACCGTGTCCCAAGCAGTGAGAAGTCGGGATCCCTGACACGCATGGTGCCCGCTGACGTCTGACGCGGCCGTGCCCTGCCGCCCAGTTCCGCTCTCAGAGTCAGCGGGTGTCGCTCCAAGTCTAGGCAGCGCCTCCTATGCCACCGTTCTGTGCACTGCGCTGGGGTTTCACTGTTTCGGGTGGGCCCCAGCGCAGCGCTGAAGCCTGCCCGATGCAGCTGAGTGCCAGGCTCGTGCGCCTGAGGCGGAAGCAGACTGTCCGCGGCCGCTTTTAGGCCCGAGTCAGCCTGCTGCTGGCCACGAAGCCAGTGTGAACGACTCCAGGATGGGTGTTACGTAAGGGGTCTTTAAACAGGAACGCTCGTTGGTTGACAAAATGCCATACCCAGAGGCACGCAGGAGTCTAGCCCCGTGTCTCCTAGGAGCGGTGGGCAGTATTCACTAATTTCAGTGTTTGTGGTGACTTCATAGAGCAGAACTACTGCAAATACTGAGAATCAACCATAAATGAGGGGGGTGTTAAACAGAAAAACTTCCCACGGCCAAAGCTTTTCAAAAACAAAGGGTTTGCTGAGCCAAAGTCCAGCCGGAAAAGGAGAGGGTCCCGGGACGGTGTAAATGAGAAAGACTAAACATGACCTGGTTAAAGACCCGCTTACAACACGACCGACAAAGTTGCTTTCTCTGCCAAACACACATGTTAAGATAAGTAGAATTGCAAATGAAAATATCAGAACATTGTAGGTGCTTGGAAATGTTATATAGTTTCAAAAATGAATGTTCATTTTAATATAAGCTTACAAATAGTTATTCTTTATTTGATAGTGCTTTCTGTTTCCCATGTAATTTTTTAAATATATTTTTTAAACTTATTTTTAGAGACAGGGGAAGAGAGGAAGAAAGAGAGGGAGACCAATACCAATGTGTGGTTGCCTCTTGTATACCCCCTACTGGGGACCTGGCCTGCAACCCGGGCACATGCCCTGACTGGGAATCGAACCTGCAACCCCTTGGTCGCAGGCCAGCACTCAATCCACTAAACCACACCAGCCAGAGCTCCCATGTAGTTTTAACATATCAAAGAGGCCGGATTAGTTTATTTTCTTTTTTTGTAAAGAAAGAAATTTTCTTTGAAATGTGTCAGGGACCCTTTTATTGGATTGGCGAAAAAGTCTGTTGCATTTTTTTGTAAAATAAGACACACTTTTCATTTTCACCAGTAACTTTATTGGGATATTTTGAGTATGTCGGCTGTCTCCCACTGTTGGCTTCTAATGGGGAGAGGCCACGGGTCCTGCTAAATGTGTTCCAATGCCTAAGACAGCCCCACAGTAGAGAGTTATTTGGCCAAAATGTCAGTAATATCAAGAAACTTCGCAAACCGCTTTTGACATGTTCGATCAGTCACAGCACCTCCTCCATACACCAGAAATCTTTCTTTTTTTGCATTTCAGTTTTTTTCACCTTTCTTGAAATAATAAAGCATAATACACTGAAAATGTTGCGTATTTTCTTCCACCTTCAATATTAAAATGGCTGCACTAAAAATCAATTTTGATTTTTTTTTAAATGCATGCTATATGACAGATGTCATAATACAATCTAACAGAACTGTTTTGAATGAAGTTAGACAACTAAGTACTTCTAGACCCATCACAGGAAAAAACATAACGGACTTCTTGGCCAGCTCAGTAGGTAAAACCATGCATGATTCAGCCCCACGTTTCTTACATAGATAGCACTGGCTCAGGCTCCTGACGAGGAGCTGGGGAGGTTCTGGCATTTTGACTTCTCATAATTTAAAAATTTTGTTCTCTGTCAACTAAGGCCAAGAAATTGTTTTGGGTCTGAAATGCGCTATCTGTGAGTGCTGCTCCCTGGGTTGGTGGCTGCTCTCTTACGCGACTCGGGGGCCCTGGGTGCCACGTGGTGTTCAGGCGGGCCCACGTACTGGGGTGACCAAGCCAGAAGTGCTCCTCCTAATCCTGGGGGTGTGTTTTTCTGCTGGGGACCCTGTGAGACAGCTGTGTATCTCAGACAGTGAGTCTAGACGCGGCTGCAAAGGCTTCTAGTCACCTGGAAACACCCTGAGTGGGTCAGAAGGCACAATGGCCTCTTTTCTTCCGAGTGAAAATCACCATCCTATATAAAATTTCAGTTACAAACTAATGATGTTGGTTCGCTGGAGAACCCAAACTGTAATTACACCAAATGGCCACAAGCTGTCACTGTAAGCTCAGTTACCAGAAAAAAATGAAAAGTCCAAAACAAAGACAGGTACTGGTAAATAACAGAATAAGAATAAGACTGACTTGAGGGTGTCCCCTTGTAACTCACCAGTCAGACAAGGGAGCCCCCACGTGGCTCCAATGAGACGTGCCCTGGGCAGCCTCCTAGGACACTCGGACAAGGGGTAACCCTCCACACGGCACCAGACGCTGAGAGGCCCCCTCCCGTGGCGCTCGTCCTGACGGCCTCCTACGGATTCATGCCGGAGGGACCCCCTCCTGGGCCCAGGAACGCGTGTGCCTGGGCCTCGGGGTGCCGGCAGGATCCCAGCCCCCCGGGCCAGAGAGGAGGCGCAGAGAGAGGGGCTACTGTGGCGCCACTCTCGTCTCCAGGAGTCCCGGCCCCTTCTGCGCCTTGGGAAGGTCCGATTCCGCTCCTGACAAGATGCATTAAACAGACAGACTAGCCCGGCTGAAAGCCTTTCACAAAGAAAGGGTTCATTGACCAAAGACTAGCCAGGAAGGGACCGGCCGGGCGTGCCCGCCAAACCAGCGGCAGCTCTCAGCCAGGGCCCGTCTGGCCCTCCTTTCCACCCTGCTGTGACCCGACCTACACAGCTCAGCTCTTCCTCCTCGTCAGTGGACAACTCGGAAAACGTGGAGTAGCAGGAGTGAGAGAGAGACGTCAGCTGTGATCCCACCACACAGATAGTTACTGTTAACATAGCTGTTGTATGCATGTTGCCTTTTCATATTAACATATAAACATGGTTTTCAAAAATTAAGATCATTTATTAATACACTATAAATATTTTCCTGCCCTGGCTGGTGTGGTTCAGTGGATTGAGCGTCAGCTTGTGAACTGGAAGGTCACCGTTTGACTCCGTGTCAGGGCGCCTGCCTGGGTTACGGACCAGGTCCCTGGTGGGGGGCGTGTGAGAGGCAACGGGTCCGTGTTTCTCTCCCCCTCTTTTTCTCTCCCTCCCTTGCCCTCTCTCTAAAAATAAATCTTTGTAAAAATAAACATTTCCCCACGTTATTAAATATTTTTAAAATACAAGTTCTGGCAGAAGTAACGCTCGCTTGAGTGTGATTGGTAGGGTGCGTGACTGTCTCTCACAAGGGGGACAGCAATTGGAATACTTCACCTGAAGCATCATAGGGTAAGCTTGAGTGTGATGTCATTATGTTACAGAATTACATGCTCATGATTTAATAAAAAGTGGCTTTATTTGTGCCAGACCCTGTATTTTAGAAGCTGCATGTTAAGGTTCTGCCATCATCTACCTGATGAAAATGCCAGTGTTAGACATTAGCGGGTTTGTGGTATTTTTGCCTCTCCATTCCCGTGTGTCATCTCCTCTCAGCCAGAAGTCCGGCCCTCGTTGCCTGCTGCCAGGACAGGGCCCGGCTGCGTCTAGGAGTGTTGTTTCTAATGTGGCATACGAATCAGATTTTGACATGTTCCTTTCTCATGTTTTTTCTCTTGCAGTTCTCACAGTTATGAAATACCGTACTTGATTTAATGACAGATCTTCATTAAACAAAATCTGGGACAATAATAATAAACTGCTGCATAATTTAAATGAAACCCATGTATATAACTTTCAAAACTTCTCTTTCAAGAGACTGAGCGGCACGTACCACTTCAAACCGGAGCGCCGGGGATGTCCGGTGCCCTCTCCCCTTCTGGCAAAATGTGCTTCTCACAGTCATGTTCAAGGCCAGGGCAGGCAGCCTCCCTTTTGCCATATCCGAAGGATCTGATTTGAAACTGGATACTTGCCAGTCGACTTTCGTGCCCGCAGTTAACGACACTCCCTGCTGCGGCCCCAGTGGCACCGGGCCCGGACGCGGGCCTGGACTCCGGGGGGCGGGGAAGCCGAGGCGGCCATTCCATCGATGCGCGCGAGACTGTGCGCACATTGCAGTTGCTTTGCAAAGTTTCCACTTGTTCATGGGTGTAACAGAAGCTAAGTGTTGTCAACGCTGTTGCCTTCAGCTACAACTAAAAACATTCCAGTAAACCTATTTTTGACTCTATAAAGGAATGTGTAGTAATTTCTTGGTATTTGAATTATGGAAATGGGGATTTTAAACCGGGTGAAAAACATAGTATGGCACCATTAAATTGGAGATAATAAAATCATTGGAGAACATCCCTGTACTTTTTGAAAGTGTCTACCATCTAGCCGCCGGTCAAGGTCAGTCTCTGAGTTTGCCTCCGATGAGGAGGGGCCAGTCCCAATGTGAGGAAATGAAGTCCACAGGCAATTCAGTGCCCTGATTTTAATTTCACTAAGCCTTGTACCAGACGTGCTAAAGGTAGCAAAATCGCCTGCTGAGAATTTGCCGGTTTTGCCTTCCCTGACCATACCCTGGGAGGCACGTGCATGTTGAACAATCAAGAATCCTATCAGCCACCAGGAATGAGGACCAAGTCAGGAGCCTGGGCGATCGTCAGTCAGCCGCTTACCAAAGGCTGGGGCCACCATTAGTCTGGTTTTGTAACAGTAAACCACATTCACTAAAACAGAACCACCTCCTTGTGTTGCTTAAACAAGTCAGTGAAAATGCCCTATTGTGTTGAGGAAGCTTTTGGCATGACGTTGGCGATTCTGCAGAAAAGTGTGCACGTGGACATCTTGACATGGAAATAGAACTCTGAATTCGAAGCAGGGTTAATAAAAAACACCCATATTTATGGCAGGGGGAGATCCTTTATAGGTCTTATTTTTCTGGTCATTTTAATTCTAAGTGTGTCAAACAATCTTTTTAAAAAATTCTACAGGACTAGCACTAAGAAGCAAAAATGTTCTATTTAGAATGGAAAGAATTTTGAAGGGAGGAGGCAGAATAAGATACACAAGGCATCTATCTGCAGGTTATGGAAATCTCCACATACTGGCTAAATTCGACAGTGCACCAAGAACACTTAAAAGGAGATAATGTCTTACCTTACTGTGGAGTGTTGTCTCTGGTCTCTCTACTCTTTGTAAATGCCAATTGATGTACATAACAGTAAATACTAAATCTTCTGACAGGATAGGATACCCAGGAAAACGAGCATTTTTAGGATTTCAGTAGTGAATAGACTTCAGCAGTGGAAATGTCTTAACTTCATGGACAGGATCAGTCCTAACACATGTGAGTCCTTCTCCAGGGTTTGGCACTGGACTCAGCAGTGGATAACTGTCCATTAGCTGGTACAGAAATCTGGCTTCTTACCTATCAGTGAAGATGAAGACTATTTCTCAAAAAAAAAATCGGTATTTCCCATGCTGCCTTTAATAAAGTACGTTGCTTTTAAAGAAATACAAAAAAGAAAATTATAAAATTATTTTCTAACAATCTAACCATAAAAAGTAATAAAGGAAGTATTTATGTGACAATGGTGTGTATATGCAGTTCTCTTTGCATGTGAACGCACCGCAGCTGGGCCCGGTGGTGGGCCTGTCGCTCTGGGAGCGTCACACCAGCGGCCTTCGGTTAGTTGGTCACCTCCCCTTCTGGGTCTGGGTTAATCCTGAGACCCGCGAGCTGGCGGGCATGCATTGGACGCTATGCCGGTAACATGGGAGGCATGAACCCTCTGCGGTCAAAAACAGAAGAAAATGGTGTTGCTCAACCGACACCAGGCCTGCCTTCCTGCCTTCCTGCCCTCCCTTAAATTCTGATTCAGCTCAGTTCACCCTGACTTGAAAAATGAAGTTTTACCACCATCAAAACTATCATTATTTAACAACAACAAAGATCAGAAAAATTCAAGTAGCTTTGAAAACAGTAGTCGATACCCAGGGAAACGAGGTCACTATTTTTGCAATGCCTGACACACCCCTCGTGGTTTATGTTTCTCTAACTGTTGAAGCCATTACTCCGCAGCAGCGCTGTGAGGATAACACTGTCAGCTTGTCCTTCAGACCGTGACCCATCAACGCCTGTGGTCCTTTGGCTCCTTCACTGTGATAAAGCTCACTGAGGTTGCCCTCCAATTTTATACACTTGGGGGTTTCTGGGGTTTTTATTGATTTTTTTTTTTTTAATTTTGAGAGAGAAACCTCAATCTGTTGTTCCACTCATTTATGCAATCATGGGTTGCTTACATGTGCCCTGACCGGGGACCAAACCCACAACCTTGGCGTACCAGGGCAATGGTCTAACCAGCTGAGCTACCCAGCCAGGGCTAACCATGGGGGTTCCTTGATGAAAGGCAAGTGCAGTAGTGAAATGGGACGTTACTTAAGTAGAGGGAGAGTAAGTGGACACATCACATGCAGGCACGCCTAATGTTAGCGCTCACGTATATTGCCCATTACTGTGTCTTCCTGCACAATCGCTCTGCGTCATAGCAAAAACTGGCATTTGTCAAGTCCATGCAACACGCAGGTGTCCTGAGAAGGATGGCACGAGCTCAGACTGCGGAGGCAAAACTGAGAAAAAATTGAACGTTCTGTCAGTGGCCTCTAACTGTGCCTGATGCGCTGTTGGCGCTGTCGGCCCGCCAACCCTCATCTCCTCTGCACATGTTCCCTGCAATTGGAAAACTACGCACGAAATTGTTGAGAACAAACGCCTTTAGATGGCCTTAATGGCACTGAGTCAGTATTACTGATCCGAGGCAGACGACTCTTCTGTTAGTCTAATTTTGTTTTCTCGTGGAAGTGCGACTGGGGGCTTTGTCATTTTTCAGGGAGCAAGAAATAAGAGCGCGAATTGATGGGAGCAGTCAGAGTTTGTTCTAGAACAGTGTAGTGCTTGTGTTTGTGCAGGAAGTCGCCAGAACCCTGAGAAGGCACCCCGCGTCCCAGGAGCTGCAGATGTGGCCGTCTTCCGTACTAAGGGATGGAATCATTCCTTAGGCTGATGTAGGTGTTGGGACCTCATCTATAAGCTCGGCATTGGTCTTCCTCTGACTTTCTGGAAATCAAGGAGACTAGGGATGAGGACAAAGACCTTTGTCCTGGCTCCTTTTCCTAAGAAGCCACTGGGAATGAGGCTAGGAACTGAAAAGGAAGCGTGACCCTCCCAGCTACAGAGTCGGGGAGAGCCTGAGGACCGGCCGCAAGCCTGGCTCCCCACGGCCCCACACGGTGCCGCAGCCCACGCAGTTGCTAGGTGAGCGTGCGAGGAAGTGACAGGCACCAGGGTGCTCAGATTTCAGCAACACTGACACCCACAGCCCCTGCGGAGCTGCCTTGCCTGAAAATGGCGGGCGGGGCCTCTTCCACAAAAGTGTGGGAAAGTTCTGGTTTTACAGCACTCCGCCAGGTTCTTTGCACGTGACAAGGTCTTGAAATAAAACTCTTAGCTATTTTAAGGCTACAGAGTCAATTGCATAAATCAGATCCTAGTAAAACGTCAGAAATCAAACTGTAAGGAAAGTCAAGCACTTGATTTTATGCCTTGGGTAAATGTCATTGTTTTAAACCCAACACTCCTTTCTCTATTTCGACAAGTGCCTTGGATGCGTCAAGGTGGGCAGTGGGAGACGAGCAACGTCGATGTCGTGCGCCCTGTTCTCCAGTTTCTCGGTTCCTCAGAACCGTTTTTACCGCTGTTTCAAAGCTTGGTGCTTGTGTTCGTGTCAGATGTGCATTTGTAGCCCTTGCAGAGTAAACAGTGAAATAAACTGTTTCATAGGAAACAAAATTAGACACTTTGACTTATTCACTATATGTGACCTGTTGCTTCAACTTCAAAGCGTAGTTTCTTTAAAATAACATCTGACCCTGGCTGGTCACTGTGGCTCAGTGAATTGAGTGCCAGCCTGCGAACCAAAGGGTCGCCAGCTCAGTTCCGTCTGAGGCACATGTCTGGGTTGCAGGCCAGGACCCTTGTTGGGCAGGGGGCAGGGTGCGAGAGGCAACCACACATTGATGTTTCTCTCCCTCTTCCTCCCTTCCCCTCTCTAAAAATATATAAATAAAACCTTTTTAAAAAAATAAAATATCTGGCACCCTGGCTGGTGTGGCTCAGTGGACTGAGCACCAGCCGGTGATCTGAAAGGTCACTGGTTCAATTCCCAGTCAGGGCACAGGCCTGGGCTGTTGGGGGCATGTGGGAGGCAGCTGATCAATGTTTCTCTCCCTTTCTTTCTCCCTTCCTTCTCTCTAAAAGTACATAAATAAAATCTTTTTAAAAAAAATAACATCTGGCTAGTCACTCTGAATAATAGGAAGAAAAGGCATCCTATCACCAGAAACCACGGCCAGAGCACTGCCTGCTCACCAACAGCAGGAAAAACCCAGGGTGGAATATGCATGCTTTCCCTCCGTGGTGGCTGCTTGAAAGAGGGACGTGGACAGGTTGCTCTTGGCCTCCCGTGTCCCGATCAGAAAACCTGGCCCCGTCCCTCGAGTGCACGGGGCTGCTTTTAGAGGGAGCCACGGTCACGTGCATGCTCTTCAACCTCCGCCCACCCACTACATTTTGTCTCTTTAATATTCAGAAGCGGCGGGGGAGGGGCATGGTACTGGGCGCGCACTGTACCTGAGATCCAGCCTCTCAGAGGGGGTGCTGCAGCCTGGAACGGAGGTGAGTGCGTTCTGGGGATGGTAGGACTTGCGGTAACCCAACGTCCGGCGTGAGGGAGAACCGGGCACAAAGGCCAGGTGCCCCCCGGATCCAGCAGGGTCACCCTTGGTGAGCGGCTGTGAGCGGCAGGGGTTGCCGCCTGCTCTCCAGTGTCAGGCAGGAGCAGCCAAAGGGGCCACGGGGCAGGGAGGAGAGGTCTCGCCGAGGATTCTGAAAAGGGTCACATGGGGCCCAAGAGCGCACCGTCACAAGGGAAGGAAGGTCCTGGGTCATCCCAGCAGCGTGCGAATACGCTATTGTTCCTTCTGGAAAAGTCCCAGCCATCTCTTGTCCACCAGGGACTTCCCGTTAGCTTCCACCCCGTGTCTTGGCTCCTCTTGACAGCAAGGGTCCTTGAAAAACATGTCTACACTTGCTGTCTCTAGCTCTTTTTCACTCATTCTCTTAAACACTCCACTGTCCCAGTCTTAGTCACGGTCACCGGTGACTTTGCTAAATCCAGCGGCCCACGGT